GCAAGCAAAGCCTCCTGATACAGAAACAGGTACAACTGGTGCACAAGATGAAGTTGTGCAAAGGCCCTCCTGGCCACACCTATCACTTTTTGAACCACTCCTGAAGACTAAGGCATGAGTGACAGCAAGCAAAGCCTCCTGATCCAGAAACAGGTACAACTGGTGCACAAGATGAAGTTGTGCAAAGGCCCTCCTGGCCACACCTATCACTTTTTGAACCACTCCTGGATTTGTGATGTTATAGGTTACCCTGACTTGATTTGTATCTTTTAAAATGTTTGATAGCTGCTTTGAGAAAAACATAGTAAAATATATAAATCAATACAGTATTAACTATTATCTATCTCTATCTATCAAATTCATAATGGCCACTCAATTCAAACAGTTGTGACTCTGGGTGGCACACAGTCAACATATAACAAGTGACCAGTACAGTTAAAAGCAACAACAAAAATTAATAGGCAGTTGGGAACTTAAATGTCTATTACTCTGCTCCAGGTGGGAATTCCAATCAACGTGGCCCAAATACCTAAGGAAGCCAAATTTTTAGAGCTTTTCTGAAGGCCAGCAAGGTCAGGGCTGACCGTATATTGGGAGAGATCATTCAATCATGTACCTTGAATTGCACCCAGAAGCCATGGAAAAGGCCGCTGACATTGCTACAGGGAGGGACCTGAAGTGTGGGGAGGACAGATACCACTGAGGATAGGTGGTCCCATAAATAATGCAGTCCTGTGTCATGTAGGGCTTTATGGATAATGACCAGCACCTTGAATTGCACCCAGAAGCCTATTGGGAGCCAGCGTAGGTCATGGACTAGTGGCGCTACATGGTTATACTGAGGTGCACCCATGACTACTGTGTCGCTGCATTCTGGACCAATTGTAGCTTTTGGTGGTCTTCAAGGGCAGTCCCATGTAGAACACATTGCAGTAATCCAACCAGGAGATGACTAAGGCATGAGTGACAGCAAGCAAAGCCTCCTGATCCAGAAACAGGTACAACTGGTGCACAAGATGAAGTTGTGCAAAGGCCCTCCTGGCCACACCTATCACTTGCTCTTCAAACAGGAGCTGTGAGTCCAGGAGAATCCTCAACTTGTGCACTGGCTTGGAGCAGGGGAGTGCTATCACCCCTTCCCCAAGCCAAAGATGGAAAAACTCCCATCCAGGGGATCCTAAACTCACATCCACTTGGTCTTGCTAAGGTTGAATCAAAGCCTGTTCTTGCTCATCCAGACTGTTACTACTCCTGCTTTTTCCTTTGTTCTTCCTCCAGAACTGTTTAGAAAACCAAAGTAGGAGTGTCCACAGTATGCTGTGGAACAGTGTTTCTCAATTGTGGCAACCTTAAGACTTCAGCTCCCAGAATTCCCAGGTGGGAATCTTAACGTGCCAAGGTTGAGAAACACTGCTGTAGACCATATATTACCTTTATCCCCAAGAGAGCTTGGAAATAAGTCAAAGAAACCCGGTTCAACAGTTATCCCTTTACCTGCTCCCAGGTGGATCTTTCTGGTGACTTTCAGCCATGGTCTTTTTTCCTCTTGCTCTTTTTCTGTGTTTTCTATTTGCCCTCCATCCAGCGTATGTTTCCTTCTCTCTTCTCTCTCAGTTCAAGCTGTTTCTGCAGAAATTGAAAGGGCAGCAGCACATAGAGACAAAAAAGGAGGTTCCTTAGGACTTCCTTAGGTGCAAGACAGTACAAGTGAGGCGCTAACTGTCCACTGGGAAACTGAAACATTTGCTTCACTGAGATGCAATCAAATCTGAACAGGGTGTGTATGTGACTTGCCCCTTCTCCAAGGATCCTTAGAAAACCCTCACGATTCATCAGGCACCTGAGGTGAACCATTTTAAGAGGTCCATCACCTTTGCAAAGGTCCAGAGTGCCTACAACCTGGAACAAAAAGTGATCTCACCACAACAAAAGATAGATAGCCATGTCCTCCCTATCTAGATCAAGCATCATCAGCTCTGAATTGGGGCTAAAATTACCTGGGACAAGCCCATGGGTCCCATGGAGGCCATGGAATCCCAAGCCAACTTGGACCCAATCCCAAGACATGGAGTTGGAAGTCCCTCAGAACCAAAAGGTTTCAGGGAAGTCCTCCAAAACCAGCTGCGATACACCAGCAGCAGACCAGGTTTGTCCCTACAGCCCAGTTTTATGTATGCACTTGCAAACGCCTACCTCCAGGGCACAGCTACTGGTCACTGCTAGAGTGTCCCAAACGGTCACATCTACACATCCTCACCAGCCTTGGCATCTTGACTGATGCAGGACTTCAACTCTGGATGGGCAGGTTTCTTTCTGTTCTCTGAAATCACCACGAAATCTTGCAAGATTTTTCCAGAGAGTTTTGTGAAAAGAGATACCTGAGCTCTTGCACAGAGTTGTGATATCTGAAAACGGTTGCTGATCTTTACCCAACAGAACACTTTGTTACTCAAGGCTTCCTTTCTCCACCTCTCAGTATTCTCTTCTTTCATTTCTCAACTTCCCTTTCTTCCTTCTGCTTATATATCTCTTTGTGTCTTATCTTCCAATTCTAGATCTGGTCCTTTCCCTTGATTTTGACTTTATTTTGCCTCACTGACTGACATGGTACATATAGACCAATCTGTCAGTTTGGAGTCCCCTCAGATTCTCATTTTTCTAGCCTTAAATTTGGTTCATCACATTTCCATATTTGGGAATATTATGAATTTGCATATATGTGTATGTATGTGAATGTTCACTTTTATTTTAACATGTGCTCAAAGTCACCCCACCTGGGCAAGCGACACCAGTGCCATTGAAGTTGTGAGTGCAGATGTCACCAAGAAGTTAAGGGCAAATGCATCCCTGCTGTGGACTAGCAATGCAAGAAGTAGATGCAAGGGGTGAAGAGCGTAGTAGACCCTGATTATCAAAGGGAAGTAAAGATGCTCTTCTACCTAGACTTGGGAAACCCAGACCTGGATTTAAAAGTTGGGGGACAGGATGCCTCAGTTAATCACCTCTAAGATAGTCACCCCATAAGTGGAAAATGAGGCACTCCCCCTCCAAGCTACAGGATGGGGGCAGAAGGTTTTGGCTCTACTGGAGGAAACATTTGGATAAAGGGAGGAAGAAGGCAAATGAAAGTGAGAAAAGTATTAGGCCCTACTAGGCAGAACATCTCACCCATCCTGTTGAAGAGAAGGAGGTCTCCTGTAAGTGTGGCCAATTATTGTCTCTCTTTTTTTTTTCATAGCCTTTCTTGCTGGTGCAAAGGAAAATGTCCGTGCTTCCCATTGGCTACACTAAGCTGTGCTGCACTGATATGGTGATCCGCTGAATTTTGGCATCTGAAGTACACAGTCAATAAGCTCACTGTGACAATACACATGGACTCTGTTGGATCGTCCTTCAGCCACTTGCAACGACACATACAGAGGATGCCTCTTTATGATTATTTTGAATAGAGACGTTTGTGCACTCGGCAGAGCCCAGCACATCGTAGAGATAAGACCGGGTTGATGTTACCTGTTGGGTAGCGACACGTTTACAAACAAACAACTGGGCTCAGAGGGCACCGAGAACTCCACAGATAAGAAAGTGCTTAGTTTATTAGTAGCTGACTCAGGCTACTTTCTTTTTCTTGCAAACCAGCTGTTTTTACCACTTGCATCTGCAGGAAAGCTAGCTATTATTTTCCTTATTCTTCGATGGTTCTGATGTTGCTTTGGTACTGTGAGCTTGTGAGGTAGTCCACACAGGAAGCACACCCTGAGGTACTAGCTCTAACTTTATTGTAGGTTTACATTGACAGAATCTTGCAAGTCTGAAAGGACATCTCTCCCCCTCGCCTTTACAGTCCAGGAAACTAGGGAGGGACCCTTCTGAGACATTTGCCACACCCCCATTCCTTCTGCAGGCTCAGCTGCCTCCATCCAGCTGATGCCTAGTCTGGGACTCTTCCTCCTGTCTCCCAAGATCATTCCCACATACCATACTGAAGGGCCAGGATCGGGGGGGGGGGGAACCCTGATGCGGGCTTTTATGGGGGGTTGAGACCATACCAACACCATTTTGAAGAGGAAGCAGAGCCATGCATATGTGAAGGCCACAGGGAGGAAATGGCATGTGAACACCCATGAGTTGTTAGGGGCACAGCATGAGGTCAAACACCTGTGGTTGGGATGACTGGTAAGGA